TTCCATAGTCTTACTGTGTCATAAGACACACAAGAAGGCTCATAAGCAGTAGAGAGCTCAGTCATCAACTGCTTCAAAGAGCATCCCTTTGAAGTAAGCCCGTATTTCATTTTTTTCGGCGCTTCTACCAACCATTTTTACTACAGTGGTCAATGACTGCGTGTATTTAAATGGCAAATTGTATGTCTTACACTTAGTCTAACATGTACATTTATACACCGTTGTGTAGGTATTGAATTACCCTACACAGGTATGTATTGGTTTTTATCGTGTCCCACGTGGATCACGAGATAGAGGACAATAAGCAATTCTTTTCGAACAGACCTCGTAATGTGTGTCATCTACAATAGAATGTTTTATTAATCACCATTATACTGCTTGTCTGAGATAGATAAAAAATAACACAGGTATTAATTTAATCATAATCATTTCAAACTGATGAAAATAAATATAAAATTACAAAAAAAACAACAACTTTCATGTAATACTTATGCCCAAATGTCAGAATCAAGAGATGTGATTGTGACGTTGTGGTTATTCATTTAGAAACAGATTATGATGTACAATTATCCTGATACATGCACTAGAAGATTAACAAATTCAAACGTTCAGCGAAAATCATGCCACTGCAATGGTCTTTGAAGCAACAGAGAGCTAATTTTCTATTTTCTATCCTCTTAATTACACGTTTTCTTTTTTTTTGCTCAACTTGCAAATATTGTCCAACTTGTATGAATTATGGATACAAAATAAATACTTTACAGAGTGTTATCTAATCCTAAAATGAAATAAAGGCTTTTGATGTATTCTGCTAATACTAATTATAGCGCTGCAAATTCATAGGGTAAAAAGACATGAAAGTGGTCTATGTCCAACAGCAAGTTTTATACACAAAATTTGTTTGTTTCCAGAATGGATATTCATTTGGCTCAAGTCCGATGCGTAGCTTAGTAATCCAAGATAGCGTCCAAGATGGCAGTTTAAAATCATGAATATTGTGCGCATGCGCGAGAAAATACTACATCCGGTCGAATTTTTATAGTCGTAAAAAAATCTATATGCACTGTTTAGGCCAGCCGTACGACATTTTTCAAAATGAATAACCTCAAACAATAATTCATAATTATGCGAACTTGTGTTTCTGTATGAAAAGTTTATTGAATATCATGAAAACTTTAAACAATTACAGTAGATATATTAGTTTATGGCGTTTGATGATCGGAAGTTTTCTTCCCTCTAAAATCACATATTTTAATAACTTTAGTACGTGCAGAAGTACGAAGAGAAATAAATTGAAACATTAATAGATCATTTATATTTTTTCTCTCTTCCGATCTGCCTTAACCTATTCTTCGTTCGTTGGTGGTTGTTGGAGGTACGACTATACTGGCAAGGCATCATGTTCCGTGACGGCAGCAAACAAAACGGCTCTGTTTAGCGCCATCCTCCCGAGTTCGTCACGAAAGGTCAACCAATTGCTTTGGTACTTGAGATGACTTGATTTCTTTACCTGCCGTGAGCCTACTCTGCAATGTGCACGCCCAGGGAGGGATTGGGAGAAGAAAACTTATATATGGACATTATAAATGTAACACATTATATGATTTGTTATATTTTTTTATCTTGATCACTATAATTCACCGTGTATATCAAGTAACGCTGGGATGTAAAAACAACGCACGATTCGTGCAATTAGTAACGGAGAATTGTGCAATAAGTGGCGGATACCTGACAGGAATGCCAACGCAGTAAGAAACTGGCCAATATAATTTTTATTTAACTGAACTGAAAATAAAATCAATAGCTGCACACGGCTGCAAAGACATAACTCTTTATCCCTCATCAACATTATTTCCACGAAATTGTTTACTTTTCAAGATCATTCATTAAATCGATAAGTTTACTACCGATTTGAGCGAGATTTTGGCTTTTTGTCGACTCTTATAAGTACAACAATGCATATTATACGATATAATTTCGATTTAAGGAAGGCAAGTGACATTTACTTAACTTCTGGTGATATAGAAAATTCAAATAAGCTGATAAAATGGGATTCAAATCGTTTTAATAAGATAACGCAGATGTACGTAAATAGCGCTTCGCGGTAGCACCGGAAAATGTGATTTTTTTCATATATGGTACTGAACTGTTACACAGGGTTAACGCCATTAATCGGCGAGTATCAGCGCTTTTCAAAAATATGTTTGTAGGGAAACTTTAATTCATTTTATACAGAATTAATTTAGTTTGATTGCATAGAAAAAGACACAGTCTCGAATCCGTCCCTGAAACCGCAGAGCTATAAGCTTCGTAATGTAAGTCTTTGTTGAAGTGAGTACGAAGCAATGCATGAAATATTTCTTTCTCAAAGAAACAACGGGATAACAACGCGGTAGCATTTTCTCAGTACCAATTGATATGGTAGTTATGAAAATGGGCTTTGTTAAATTATAGTCATTTTCATTGTTCTCACTCTTTATTAAATATTTGACATGAAGAAGAAGTCCACTTTTAGACCTTCATAGAACGGATAGATGAAATCTTCCACAAACACATCTCTAGTAGCTCTCCAAATGCATGTACATTGAGTTAAGAAATCAAAATATATTCAACCTATCTTTTGTCTATGTGACCATTTACCTGGTAATTTTATGACATTGTTTTGCTCAGCTGTGAACTTGTTATTGTTTATTCAAAGTCTGAGAGATTGGTATTAGATATGTAATGTATTTGTACAAATGAGCTACCTGATTGAGCAAATGGCCAATCTGTATGGATGTGACCTGGCTCTGTACCGGTGGCCTTTTTTAGGGTCATTAGTCCTGTTAGTTTTGTAAACGTCTATAGTGATGCCTAGCATAAACTCTTACGGTAGATTCATATGCTTTTCCAATACAAGTTAACATATGAATAAGAAACCCTAAGAGAAGGGTAAATCGTTATAACAAGAGTTATGATTTATTTAACTTTAGCAGAGTACAATAAGGCTATGCTTTTACAAGTTTTTGGCATTATACGTAATATAATATTTAAGTTAAATATCTTTTGAAAACAAGTTACTTCCTTATTTAAGAGAAAATATAGATTAAATAAATAATCCATTTTTACAGAAGTCACCAGGCAAAGTGCTACAGCCAAATACAAGTATTTGTTTTGGTCGGGTTTCAAATCACGCCAACACAATAAAGGACATATGGATACTTTCAAGCCTTACTTGTGCATTATTTCAGGCATAAAATATACAGACTCTTCTTCTCTTGATTGTTTTCTATTATTTTTATATTCAGTTTATTTGCAAAGGAAGTTTATTGTTCTTATTTTCTAACAATATCAGATGTGGGAAGCATGTTGACAAATAATAATTTTATTTCAGGAAACAATTGTCAAATTGTACTAAGTTACAATATGCAATCAAATGTTGAAAGTTTGTTAATATCTAATTATATTATATTTCCTTAAAAGTTACGACGAAAATACATTGACTATATGTCGCAAATAACTTTATTATACTCGCCGATAAAATGTCTTAAACCTGAGTAATAATTCTGTACCATATAAGAAAAAAAGATACATTTTCCGGCGTTACCGCTAAACACAATTCACATACATCGACGTTATCTCATGAAAACGTCTTGAATCATATTTAATTTGTTTATTTTCAATTTCCTATATCACAAGAAGTTAAGTTTATGCCACTTGCCTACAGAAAATCAAAACTTTATAGAATAATATGCATATTTGTGCATATAAGAGCAGACAAAATGTCAAAATCTCGCTCAAAACGGTTGTCAAGCCATTATTTTCACGGATGATCTTTACAATTTCGTGGAAATAATCTTGATGAGGGATAAAGAGTTATGTCTTTGCAGCCGTATGCTGCTATTGATTTTTTTCAGTTCGGTTAAATAAAAAATATATCGGGCAATTTTCTTACCGCGTTGGAAATCCTTTCAGGTATCCGCCATTTATTGCACAATTCTGCGTTACTTATTGCACGAATGAATCGTGCTTTATTTTCACATTCCGGCGTTACTGGATATGAACGGTGTTATTGAACATATAAAAACATTTGCAGCTGTTTTTAACGATTGCATAATCCATCATAAAGTCAGTCACGGACTTTAATTGACTTGACATTAAAGTATGTGGTTCAATTTCCAGCAGTAGATAGATTATAACACAATATTCAAAAAAAATAATAAATAAATAAATAAATAAATAAATAACACAAAATTTACACCAGCTTACAGAAACTACTTAATTTAAGATTAATTTATTTCAGATAGATCTAACCGTTATCTTGTCATAATATAAACGGCCGAGTACCATCTGTAAAAACATTTAGAAAAATTGTATACCGTAGACATATTTATCAACAATGTTCTGGTTTAGGCCACTTCCAACAACCGTGTTGTTACCAACAGTGTTGGGGTTTCATGCAAGCGGTTGGGGTTCAATACTCTTGAGAGCCCTTAGATTTATTTTGTCTACTTATGTACTTCAAAATAATTCTCAATCATATAGGCACTATGTATAATTTGTAATTTCTTTATATTTTTGTTTGAGTCCGTTGATTTGAAAGGGCGATTTGTCTAGAAAGAAATGGAAAAAATTTCTCAAACCTATACAATAACATTTACGCATCTACAGGATGTAAAAAGCACTTTGAATTGTTGCTCAAACTATATCAGAAGAAAAAGTTCATCCATTAATTGTTTATATGGTAACACGAATTAAACTTAAACACTAAATTGTAAATAATTAATATCAAACCAGATCTACTATCCTAATATCATTTGTGATAACAAATAACAGAAAGGAAGTTAAAATCTCATCCCTCAGTACAGGTAAAGTCCTTGATTAAAGGAAACATGTAATATATGCGGTAATAAACCCTTGGTAAGTATTCGATATATATACTTCACATTCAAGAGGGAAATAAATCACGTGGGCTTTGATTAAACCAGATGATAAAATTTTGACTCATTCGGCTATGAGGAAGACAGTAGATAGGAGTAAGTTTTAAAGAAACAAATACGTGTTCTTTAATTTCTTCATGTTGAAGAGAGCAAAGTATTTACAAATAGTGCATAAACATGTAATACATGTATTTACAAACATAACATTTGTAGAGACATGCTATATGTTGATATATCAAAATTAGTCCTTTATCGCAAATGGCATGTAAGTTTTTACTTGAATTTTGAATATTTTACTTTTCTTAAAACAAAATTTATTCGTTTTTCTGTACTTGGATTTTTGTGAAATAGTTTCGCTCAACTGGAGGAAAGCAGCTTTAGGTCAAAATATGTGATATGAAGTTTAGATGTGATAATTTTTACATTCCGTCATATTGATTACTAACTTTAAAAGTCGCTAGTCGGCTAATCCTGTGACTATCCGTGTAATAGTAATGCCATTTAAGTGTTTATAAACTAAGAACAACAGTTATCACAACCTAGTTAGTCTATTGAAATTGTAACAGAGGATAAGCCAGAAAGTTGAATTTTAAAGCGAACGTTACATATACATAAACCTTTCCTTGGAGAAATAATGCGACAATAAAGTGCTCTTGATAGACGGCGACTCCACATCAACTCAGGTATTTGTTTATGTAAAATGTTTGCCCACGTATTGTAAATTACTCTTCTTAACTTCAAAGAACAAGTTGTTGACTTTTTGATGATTAATTTTTTATATTGAGCTGTTAACACAGACGATTTTAGTTTCGGTAAAAGTTCATTTATTTTTATAATCAATTATTCTGTAATTCCGAAAAGTAAATTATTCTATTTCATGACTGCTGCTTGAACTGTTACCACTGAGAATTTTATTTAAGCCAATCAGATTTCCAAAATGAGCTTTAATTACAAGTTATTATCTGGTATCACTGTAATATGCTTTACTTTATTTTGCATAAGTTTAATCTAGCATCACTTTAATCTGGCATTAGTTTAATATTGCATTAGTGTAATATTGCTTACTCTGATTTTGCATTAATATAAAGTTGCATTACTATCATCTTTCATTACAATCATGTTGCTTTACCAACATTTTTATTTACATTTATGTTGAAGTACATTTATGTTTACATTACCTCTCATCTTTAACAGGAATTGCATAACCATCATATTACACATTTTCGACTATTTGCATGTTAAGAAACTATATTTTCTTTACTTTGTGTTAGATTATTAAAATAGTCAATTGTTAATGCATTGTGAATAAGGCGTTATGTATTTACGTCCTCGTTTTGGTAAAATAGATTATTTTTTCTTCAAATTACGTCATTTGTATTCTTTTTTCCGTCAAAGAAATTTATTAAAGAAATATTGCTTTTCAAGTGTTAGTTACACTAAATCAACATAAACAGCATCTAATAAATCAACACATCCTTGCCATTAAATACTATTCCATCATTAAAACACCGTAATATACTATATAACATAAGTTTATTGGTTTAAACATATTTATTTAAGCTCGATTGCGAAACAAGTTCTTGCAACCTATATTAATCACTTTCGAGTCCGCTCCCTTGAACCAACCAGTACTGGTTTTATATGAAGAAACATGGTTGTGAACCGATTAGGGCTCAAACCAATGATCCTTGTGTTGAGAGGCAGACACTTGAACCACTAGGCCACCGCTCTCCTACAAAAGTATATAACGCTTGTTTAAAAGCGAATTTTATGACAGCATTTTTTTAATGACATATTTGATAACTGAAAAACTGTTTATTTGAATTTGTCCAATCTTTCGGATTTCCTGGGCGGCATATTTTAAACATACAAATATATTCAGACACTACGAGGGAAGTTAGATAAGCATTTTGAATTTAATACGGCAAATAAGACATTGTATCAAATATATTTACCAAAAGTATTTCATTTCATTAACTACTAAAATACCCGATGAATCTTAAACATCACGCCATATATGCAAACTTCAAACTAACTACGATCTGGTCTTAATATGTTTACTTGCCGAAATAATAAAAAATACTTTGAACGGAAATAAGATATATTGTGGTACATCAGGTAGTCGTTTAAGATCATTATAATTGTATAAAAAATTAGTACATATGGATATAACTGCATGAACAACATTCCATTTAGGTCTTTTTTATACAAAAATATTTTATGAAAGGGTTAACACGATTAAAATTAATCAAAACACGACATAAAAGAGCAAATTACAAACATGCTCTTATATAATGAATACAATGTCATTTTTTGATTGATTGAGTTTTACGTCACACCGACACATTATAGCATATATGGTGACGTTTCAGCTTAAATGGTGGAGGAAGACCTCAAGTGCCCTTCCGTGCATTTTTTTAGGCACGAACGGGCACTAAACTAAACCACAAATGTTCTGTAAGCAAACTGAATAGCTTCCTCACATAAGAGAATCCCCGTTGGGATTCGAACCCAAAACGTTAAGAGGCAAGTGGTTTGAAGTCAACGACCTTAACTGCTCGGCCACGGACTTACCAACTAAATCAATTATTTACTACCGTTGATTATTTTGAGTAAAAGTTAGACGCTTGTACGAAAGATATAAACGATTTATACATCTCAAAAGTAATCACTGACTTTCTTTTCATACTTTATCTGGATAGGCGCGATGGTTAAAATGAATGTTTAAGGACATTTTTCGCGGCAAAGACCTTCTTTGGCATATTCTTTGGACGAAAAAGTATGACAAAGACCAATAAGACAAAAAAAGACAAAAATATAAGCATTTACTCTTTTCTAGTTTATAAACATCTACATTGTACATGTATTATTATCTGTATACGAATTTCAACTATTATTTATTAGATAGAGAGTAAAAGAATCACTTAAGAAACTTAAGTCCAAAACGGCAAAATTGGAAAAGTTGCCGGCTCGGTTTGAGCATGTTCATGGACAGTATTGGAAAATGCAAGCTTCTTTTCACGTCCCCTAGCATCGGCTTAAGCAGCATTCAAAATTTAAACATGTAATGGTAAAAGTTTTGAATTTAGAAACAACCTTCATGTGAAGTGGATTTAAATCACTGTACATTTGTATATGAAATTTATAACATAACTTTATTTGCCTTTCTTTTGTAAAATTTGATGTTGCTTGTACTGTATGAGATGACCATTTGCTTTCAAAACAATTATTTGCAGAAATAACAAAGGCATTTTATTATATTTTCGAGCCTTTTTACTAACTTCTGTATGTTGATGACTCAAGTAATTGAGTATCAGTTTTGGTAACTACAATAACAAAATATTTTATTGGATTAAAACAAGTGTTTCTCAGCAATAAGTACAATTTTTAATACAAACACATGGTTTAATAGCACAATGTTATACATGTATAATATATGTATCCGTACACATATAGCATTACAGTTACATAACTAGTAGGGGCGTCCGTAGCCGAGTGGTTAAGGTCGTTGACTTCAAACCACTTGCCCCTCACCGCTGTGGGTTCGAATCCCGACAGGGACTTTGGATTCTTTCATGTGAGGAAGCTATCCAGGTAGCTTACGGAACGTCGGTGGTTCTACTCGGGTGCTCGTTCGTGACTGAAATAATGCACGGAAGGGCACCTGAGGTCTTCCTCCACCAGTAAAGCTGGAACGTCGCGATATGACCTATACTGTGTCGATGTGACGTAAAACCCAATCAAAACAAACAAACAAACATAACTAGTATTTTCGCAGGTTTGCATAAATTGTATATTTCGCCCAATTATAAACTAATGATCATGCACATATGATGTTAACAAATTTCTGTTCAGTCGGCCATGTATAGATATATATCTTTACATATTTTGATCTTAAGTCTTGGAATTTAGAACATATTAAAATAAAATGATATTCATTTTTATAAAAGACCGACATTACAAATATTACACAATCTTTTATAACCGGGTATATTTCTATGCAGCCATAAAATGTGTGCCACAAGTACTCTCAAAACATCGTAAACAAGAAATCGATTGCCAAGTTTGTATACAATGTTTAAATATCATCTGTGAAATATAGTGTGTGTGTGTGTGTGTGTGCGTGCGTGTGTGTGTGTGCGTGTGTGCGTGCATGCGTCCGTGTGTGTGTTTGTGTGTTTTAAAGTGCACCGTATGATTTTCCAAATTTCTTTTTTTCTTTCCTTGATAAATATTTTTTTTATTTATATGTGACACTAGATTATAATGAGTGATATGAATTATATGTCTGAGTGATTTGGTAATATTTAAAAAATTGTTACTGACAAAAATCTTGGCCGGGGGCATTTCTGTTTTTACCAAACACGTTCTTGTTTGTTTCTATTTTGTTGGGGCGAACGAACGAAAAAAAAATGGATCTCAGATTTGAGGCTTGAGCGGAGAATAAAGGGAACACGAAAACGCTATATTTGAGTTTATAAGTATTTTAAAAACAATGTTCCACTTTGATAACAAGTTCTTCAGTAATTATACATTTTATACTCATAGTAATGTTTTTGAAACAATTCAATGAAACACATTTATTTTGTAACAACAAATTTATAAGCAAACTCCTTTATAAGCATCCTGATAAGTGATCTATATAATAAGCTCCTTTCAATTATTCAAGTTTTGTCTTTGAAAATACTTTGGATATATATTTTCAGGAAAGTTCTTGTAAATAGACTAAATATAGCCCCTGATTATTTATTTCTCATTAATTCGCGTTGATAAAATAATAATCTGAACATCAAAATATAAATGGCTATCAAATATTAGCGACAACTAGAGACTCATGCCCATACTAGAAACATCAAATTTTGTGACGTTGAGTGAGCCTTGGTAATTGTGTGACCAGTTTTGAACATAGAGACATTTCTTAGATTAACCTGGGAAGACATCAAGAATTAAGTCTGAAAATTTCATTATCTAGAATGCTCTTAAGTTTTTATTGATGAAAAACAAACACTTTTTTTTTTGTTTGATTTTGGATACCTTTCGTGAACAAACGCGCGCTAGACATGCAAGGAATAAGAATAACAAGGGGCACATGCCTATTACAGGACATGTACAAATATATGTCGCGAAAATACATGACGATTTTATATCCAGGCGTTTTAATTTCTTTTTCGATTTTATACTATTTCGTGGATATGATTTCTCCTCTTGTTTGGCATTGTGCAATTATTTTTCTTTATTTTGACAATTGACAACATTGATTTTTATAAGAATGGAAAGAGAAAAACGAGCTTTTTTCTAAAGGGGGTTTTCGCTAATGTTTGAGGGACATACAATAATAGAACACATCAACCCTGTTTCAAGTTAATTGAGAATAAAGTTGTTCATAACCTCTTACAAATTAATTTTGAGTTCCTATATAGCGGTCTTGACACGGTCTATGTACATTTATATTGTAATATCCCCCTATATCGACGATGTATTGATTTAAGTGTATTTGAATGAGGCAATATTCATGGCACTTACTGATTGCAACAGTTGATGTTACTTCCTTAATCCTTTAATTTTGCAAATAATTAGGAATTTAAGATATAAAGCTAACTTTATCACAAAGATCGGAAATGTTGTAAAGCACATTTTATAGGCGCCATAGCATGCATAAATTAACACAACTACTTTATTTGAAATATCGTGTACCTTTTCAAAAAAACACGTTGGATACAGTGTGCAGATCAAGGTCAGATACAGATAGAAAATTCAGTTGATGACGCTCTTTATAGAAAATTGCATTTTTAGTTTGCACAATATCAAAGAAAACCTTTTTACTCGTCGCATTGTAAAATATTCATCCCGATAAAACTTTTAATTTTGTAAAAATATTTTGTATATTCATTAATATAATATTAAAAATGCTTTCTGGATTGATCTTTTAAATGATTTTATGACATTTGTTGATAAACTTTGTGTATATTGTGTCGAACAAGTATTACATATGCCACTATTTTATAACCATTGCTTTTCAATAGGGTCAATATTTATCTACATTAATTCTTTTTATGACTGTCACAAAGGAATCAGATTTGTGAAAGATTATTAATGAACAAGGTGATTTTTAGAACAATATGTAGGCAAACAAGTTAATTTTCTAGAATATCATGGTTTAAAATAGGCAATAAAATCATACATGCTAAAGCTATACATTAATATCGATTTGCTAAATGTTCAATATCCTATTGTAAGCTGTTATATCAAACCTAGTATTATTACAAATAAGGAATACTTGTATGAAACGTTTGTTAAAAATACAGATGTACCAACAAGTTAAGAAAAATGGAACACATACTTCATAGATAATAATATAAACTGGTCATTGATATGCAGTTATGTATTTAAATGTACAAAAGATTCAGACATTCAGTGGTTTCAGACTAGAATAATTCACAGACCTTTAGCAACAAACTCACTTCTGATTAAAATGAAAATTGTTGATAACAAAATGTGTACTTTCTGTAACTGTCAAGAAGAAACATTTATACATTCGTTTTGGGAATGTCAAAAATTCAGTCTCTTTTTCAATATTTGCAAAGTAACAAACATTATTTTGACAATGTTTAGAATTGAAAAAATACATATATTTGTCTAAGAGAAAAAAATACTACCTACAGGTATTGGCTTTAAAAATAGCTTTACATTAGCTTGGACTATTTACAAATATTGGGACTCCGATCCAGGGTACATCACCCCCTATTTGGGCTCACCCCCTTATAGAAAGCATGAAAGTGATAAATGAAGATGTTAAAATGATAAAAAATGCGTTACCCAAATTAGACGAAATTGAGAAATCAGTGAAAACGATACAATTACAAATGAGTTATCTAGAAATAAAAGTTAAAAATCTGGAAACGAAAAGCACAGAGGCCGAAAACTCATTAGCATTCATTAATTCAGCTTTCGAAAATCAAAAAAGTGAATTACAGGAGTCAAGGGAACAAGTTAATGCTTTACAAAACAAATGCATTGATTTAGCAGAATACGATCACATACTCCAGAAACAAGCTGAAAATGTACAAGATAAACTGCTAGATTTAGAAGCAAGACCAATGAGATCAAACCTTATATTCTATGGCCTGAACGAACCCGAACCCCCTAAGCCGAATGATACAAGAGAGCCGGAAGATTGCGATAAAATTGTCAAAGACCTTATCAGGGAAACCCTTGATTTGGAAGTAAATGATATGGTCTTTGATAGAGCCCACAGACTAGGAGGAATACGATCCAAACGACCACGACCGATCGTTGTGAAATTCAGGGACAACGCAGATCGTGAAAAGGTCAGGCAAAAATCGTATGAGCATGATATTAAAATCAACCTTAAAGCGCAGCAGCAAGGCATCGGTATCCAGACCCCCCAACCTTACAGGGAAGCTAGGAAAGCATTCACAGACTTTATTGCTAGCGAAAATATAGACGAAGGAACAGCAAGAATATCTGGAACAAAATTGTATATCAACAATAAAATCAGTAAGAAGTATGTCAACGGGAAAATTGTGAATCATAATACATACTAGGAAAGCCGTGAGAAGGATATCAATGATATTAAAATACTTTCATGGAATATTCATGGATTAGCAAGGAAGATAAGTGATATCGATTTTATTAATATTATTAGCGATTATGACTTGGTATTTCTTTCTGAAACGTGGTTATCGAAAAATGCGCATTTAAATTTGGATATAACTGGATATCAATGTGTTCATCTATATGGAAATAAAACCCGGAATGTTCGAAAAGGCAGGTTCAGCGGTGGTATATCAATATACTTTAGAAAATCCCTAAATAAGTATATAAACATTATAGAAACTCATCAAAATGGAATAGTATGGATAGAACTTTTACAAAATTTGTTTGATTTCAATGATAATGTGTATTTATGTTGTACTTATATGCCGCCTTCAAATTCAAGAGTTATAGACACTAATAATTTTGATTTTTTCGAAGAGATCGAGTCTGGTTTTAGTCTACCATGTAAAAATCACGCTTCACCGCCGATTGAAATACACAAAGAAACGTTTTTGAAATTTGACAATACAAACAACTCACAATTTATAGAATGCTTAAACTCAAAAAGAGGAGATATATTAGAGCTAACTAATGAAATTAACCAAAACGAAAATATTGATACTATATCACAATCTTTTATTAAGATTTTAAGCGATTGTTCAAATGATATTTTCGGACAAACACGAACAACACGAACTGTATCTATAAATAAAGTATTCAAGAAAAAACCATGGTTCAATGCTGACTGTTACACTGCTAGAGCTGAATTCAAAAAAGCAAGAAATGCTTTTGTAAAAAACAAAGACAATGATAACCTTTGTAATCTATATATAAACTATTAAAATAATTATAACAAAATTAAACGAACCCCCCACCCCACCCAAAAAAAAACTTTAATGAAAGGCAAAACTTAAATGAAATTAGTAAATCTCAACCACGTAAATTCTGGAATAAGATTAGAAGTCAGTACACTGAAAATACAAGAAGGGCTGAAACTTTAACAACACAAGAACTATATGAGCATTTTAAAACACTGTATAGCACAGAGACAACAACTGGAAATACATCTTATAATCAAAATATTATAGATGAAGATTTAGATAAACAAATTAATATGTCAGAATTACATAAAGCAGTATTTTCACAAAACAATAATAAAAGTAGTGGAATAGATACACTTATATCGGAAATATATAAAATTTCTTTTAATGAAACGTCTGATTTTATTCTAAGACTTTTTAACAGGATATTTCATACCGGAATATATCCCAGTGAGTGGGGATCAGGAATTATTGTTCCCTGAAGTTAAATGGTACGGTAATTTACCATAAAACTTAATCAATGAAAAAGAATATAAACACTTGAAAATACCAAAACGCTCAAGTACAGTTAATCTTATTTATTAAGATTTTCTGTTAAATAAATGCATAAAACAGGATAATTAAATACTATTAAACATGTAAATCATTGCCCTTGGTATAATTATTGTAGATCTAATGAGTTCGTCAATGTTTACAAAATTGTTTTAAGAAGGGATTATATGAACGTGTTTCGCGTAAATTACATTTAAAGTCTTCTAGCGGAATATTTATTTAGCGGAATGTTCAAGTTCTGACGGATTTCCGTTGTTTGGCGGATTTTTAGTTAGGGTTGAGCTACTGTTCAAATAATAACCTTGTTAGCCCGTGTTTCACGGTTGGAAAAGCTGCTCAACTGAATTGAGCGTCTGTATTTATAGACTTCGGCGTGTTAATTCCAAAATGAAATTTGCCCGCCGCTAAAACATTCAAAAGTACTCTTATCCAATAAGATTCGACAACGGAATTAGTTAACCAATCACAGCGTTCCGCTTAACATAGCACAGTCATGGCTCATACGCCGTCAGGCAAAATAGATTCGTCAAGGAACCGCTAAAATGTTATTATTCTTTTATAGAATATTAAAGACATAAAATATCGGCAGATTTTTATATAATAGTCACTCTTTTTCCAAAATATGATTATGGTAGTTTCGTTGGATTACAGTACTTTCTCGGAATTTGGCCGGATATGGAACTTATTTCCGCTGAATCCGTCAGCTAGAAAATGTAAATAATACACATCTTTGTGTTCTAGTGACACTTCTAGTGTACACTTTCTGCATCTATTGTAATGGAATAATAGTTCAGGTATATTTCTACATATCTGATCGTTATTATTGTTATTCTTTGGTCAGTTGAGTATCTATGCTCAATTGTCAGGTTATTTCGCGACCCGGATCATGTTCACAAAGTTCTGAACGATATTTCAATGTTTCTGTAACTCGAATCATTGAATACTTATACTGTTTACTGTTATATATATAGTTGATAAACAACCACACAAATCACGGAAATGACAGAGCAGAATTCAAGTAAAGGAAAGGTAAAATCTGTCACACTGTCAAATTGTTTACATGTCTATCCATAACACTTCCCCCTCCTTATTTAAAAGAATATCCTCCTGGATAATGTTACTAATGAAAATGTTTTTACACATGTCATACCAAGGGCTAAGAAATTTAAATTAAATTATTTATAAACAATATCAACAAACAATATTTTAGAACACCAATGCATTATTTTTCAAAAATCTGTCAATAAAATATCTCTTATAGTTTATATGCTCTAGGTTATTTTAAGAGTTTTCTATTTAAGTCACACAACTGTCACATGTATTTTCTTTCTTTAAAAAATATTTTTGCACTATGAAATAAATAAAACATTAAGATTAACAAAGAAAACATTTAAAATGACACAATGTACATGTAGTACACATCATGCAACACATGACAGTGTAATTAATGTTTTTCACTTTTCTCACATCATGTCTACTTTAAATAAAACATTAATTTGTCTATGGTCACTCATTAAAGGTGCTTTCTAAAGTGGTTCACTTTAACATTCATCAAAATTTGTAACTCCGATTATTAAATCACATATAACTCAATGTAACCATCTTGCTTCACTTATTCACATATAACTGATTATAACCATCTGGCTTCACTTAATCACTTTTATCACAATATAACCATCTGACTTCACTTAATCACTTTTATCTCAATATAACCATCTGGCTTCACTTAATCACTTTTATCACAATATAACCATCTGGCTTCACTTAATCACTTTTATCACAATATAACCATCTGACTTCATTTAATCACATATAACTCAATATAACAGTCTGACTTCACTTTATCGCATATAACTCAATATAACCGTCTGACTTCACTTATGACACTTGTCACACACATAACATTTGCCACACGCTTCACAATGTACATGTATTAAATAGCTTTAGAATGAATTTTATAAATCTTATAACATTACTCGTCACAAAAACAAAACATACTGTAGAATTTTCACTTCAACAATGATTTTTGTATACATTTAATTAATTTCACTCTGTTAATCACTGTTTTGGGAACTGACTACTTCCTTCTTTATCCACATGGGGATATTCTTACCCGAATATGGCCACAATCTGTCAATGTGATAGGCTTTTGTTTTTTGTTTGCTGGAACGTTTAACACAACATATCAAATCATCAAGAACACTTGTAATTATGTAGGGACCTTTCCATTTATTTATCAATTTTGAACATATTCCCTTCTTTCTTGTTGGGTCATGTAGCCATACTAATTGACCTTTATGATATCGCCTTTGTTTGGCATTTGTATCATAATGTCTCTTTTGGTAATTTGCGACACGACCAATATTTTGTCGTGCAAATTGGTGAATTTGACTTATTTTATGTTTCAGCATATCTGTATAACTGTCACTATCATATTGATCTGTGTTTTGTTCAGGGATTCCCACTACTGCATTTAAAGGTAGTGTTACTTCACGACCAAATAACATTTTATTTGGTGATACTTTAGTTGAGCTGTGCTCAGAACTTCGGTAGGCCATCATCACCAATGGTAGGTAATCATCCCAACTTGACTGATCTTTAGAACAGTATGCGGTTAACATGGATAGTATAGTACGGTTACTTCTTTCTATAAGGCCATTGGCTTGTGGTCTTAGACTTGTCGTACGCGTCTTTTCTATACAAAGGAAATCGCAAAGCTCCATTATCAATTGCGACTCAAAGTTTCTGCCTTGATCTGTGTACAATTGTAGTGGTACACCAAACCTTACAACAAAATTATTTACAAATGCTTCAGCAACAGTTCTAGCATCCTGGTTTGGTATTGGGACACTTTCGGTCCATTTTGTGAACCAGTCTGCAATTACTAATATATATTTGTTTCCATTTTTAGAAACCGGAAGTGGACCCAAAATATCCATGGCAACCCTTTCCATAGGCATGCCTACAATATACTGTCCTAATGGTGCTTTATTATTTTCTTTTGACAATTTTCGTGCTGTGCATGTATCACAGGCCTTACAATACAGCTTAATACTATCTGCAACACCAGGCCAGTAGAAACCTTGTCTGACCTTATATAATGTCTTTTCAAACCCAAGATGTCCAGATGACGGAATATCATGACTGAAATTAATCACATCTTTCTGCCTCGATTTAGGTACAACAAGCTGCCAACCGACTAAACCAGATTCATCTACATATTTCCGATACAGCATTTGACCGCGAACATTCAATCGGTCCCACTGACGCCAAAGAGTCTTCAGGAATGATGTGCCGCTAGACACCGTGGACCAACTTGGTCTCGATTCATTTTCCAATTTAGCGGAAAATAATGGACCAATATCAGAATCGGACATTTGTTCGGTCTTTATTTCTAAGGCGCTCCAACCATCAAGGTTAATTTGATGGGGTAGAATATCATCGTCAACGGCTTTTGCAACTTCTTGCCGAGTTGTAACTCTTGATACTTTCTCACTTGGTTTCTCTATATCTTCATCATTATTTTTATTTTCAGCTGTTTCTGTTACATGTTCTTCATTTATTTGCTGCTGTCTGGCACAATTTCTGCAAGGGATTCGCGATAATGCGTCTGCATTACTATGACATTTACCTGG